GCTTGCTTCCTTGCTTTCTCTCTCTCTCTCTCTCTCTCTCTCTCTCTGTCTCTTTCTAGTCAAATTAAAATAAATAAACGAACAAACTAAATTAAAAATAATTTATTCTTTAAAAAAAAAGAAATATAGTAAAATAAGAATTGGTTATTGTACTCCCTATTTTACTTCAGCCTAAGTCTGAGACTTTTTTGTTTATAAATTGCTTATTTGCATACACAGCATACCACATCTATATACACGCTTGTATACACCATATTGGGTTTTTTTGTTTGTTTTTTCTTTGAGAGGTTTTTCGCTATAGGGTACATGCGCTTTCAGGATCCTGGGCACACACGCACATGTGCCCGGCGTGAGTTTTAAGCCACTGGGTCTGGGACGCGAACCATGGTCGACTACGTGGGAGTCCAGCGACACAGCCATTACGCTAACTGCTGGTTCCCTGTATACACCATATTGTAATGAAGTTGTTTCTGCTGGAAATTTTAATCATATGTTTAATGTTAGAGGCATTTTTGTAGAATAGCTTACCATTATTATTAACTTTTTTTTACACTGATTAACACCATCCAGTGCCACTAAAGTTAACTGTCTGCTAGGACAGAAATGGGCAAATAGGCAAAATACATCAATGTGCATTTTTAGTGAATGTTGGTAACGTGCCAGTTTTATTTTCAAGTTCCTCCCCCCTCATATCTAACTATGATGTACTTTTAAGGCAATAATAGTATAGTTAGTTAGTTTGCAAAATGTGAATAGTTTTTCTGGTTTCTCCATTTTGTATGTTTTGAGTTAGGATTCATGGGGTGTTTACCATTCTCAATACACCTATATAGTGAAACAGATCATTTAATCATGCCTTTTTTTTTTTTTTTTAAAGCATTGGCTAACTTTTAGCAGTAGGCTTGTACACTTTCATAAGTACAACCGAGTTTTGGATTACATCATTTACATAATCTAAAAGTAAACTTGAGCATAATAGAAGCTGAAAACAAAATAAGTCTGATATTTCTTTGCACTAAGAAATGTAGTTCCTATTCTAAATAATATACCCTTATTAGAAAAGGATCATTTTTAGTGGTTACAATTGCCTAAACATTTTTTTCTGTTTAAAGTATTGGTAAAATAGTTTTTTAAAATTATTATTGATGTTGCATTGTGGCCAATTTTGTACAGAATATAAGTGTAAAGAAATAAATTATCTATGACCCCCATCAACTGTAGAAAATTAACTACTAACATTTTCATGTTATTTTCCAATTCTTTTCTTGCATGTACAATTTTTTATTTTTAAATTTTAAAAAGTTACTTACTTTACTTAATTTATCATTTTTATTATTGTTAAATTTGCTATAGGTCATGCATGAGAGAGGGAGGGAGGGAGGGAGGGAGGGAGAGAGAGAGAAATTGAGAAAGCAAGGCACCAGGTCTGGGACTTGAGCCGCAGTCAGCCATGTGGGAGCCTAAAGCCTTAACCACCATGCCACCTACTGGCCCCCAACTTTTATTTTTGTAAAAATTAGAATTATTGGGCCGGCGGGTTACATGGAGGTTAAGGCACTGAATCTCACATGGCTGACTGCACAGTGGGTCCGGGACACAGCCACCTGGAAATCAACACTGGTTGTGTATTTGCCCAAGATCCCGAGAGGAGAATAGAGAAGGGGTTGTGGTAGGGCCATCCCCACTCTGGGGTGATTTCCTTCTCTCTCTCTCTCTCTCTGTGTGTGTGTGTGTGTGTTTCTGGCTAGTGCATGCACTCTATAGCAAAAAATTAAATAAAATTTGAATTATTACTTTTTATATACTACTTTGATCCTATTTGTGGTTTCCTTGTGTGGGACTAAAAGGTTGACTTTTTAAAAATATTATTACTGTTTTATATAACACAGGGACAAGCATTTTTGTACATTTATCTTTGATTGCATCTCTTGTTTTTGTGTTTTGTTTTTCCTTCCTTTAGGATAGATTCCCAGAAGTGGGATAACTGGATCAGAGGGTGATTACCCTGTGTATAAGAGTGTGTGTCTCACTGCACCTTCAATGTCATTGACTAGGTCAGTTTTTATAATCTTTGCCGATTTGATAGATATCTGTTACATTCTTGGGTGGTAGTCACAGAATTTTCATGTTATTAATAATATGTAAAACCTTCATAGTGTATGACTAGTAATTTGCAGTTATCTTCCCAAAACTTGGTTGGAATGAGTTTCTTTACTATCTAGGTAAAAGTAATCTCTGTGACAAAAGGATATTAATTAAAGTTGTAATTTGAGCTTTTTTTTTTTTTTTTCAGAGAAATAGAATTTTTTTTTTTTTGAGAGGTTTTTGCTATAGGGCGTGTACATTTGCCAGGAATACAGAGATACAGAGACAGAAAGTGAGAAATCACCCCCTGGGGAGATGGCCATGTATTATCCCTTCTTCTCCATTCTCCTCTCGGGATCTTGGGCATGCACGCATACATGCCCAGTGAGAGTTTAATCCATCAGGTCTGGGACTCGAACTGTGGTCGACTACAGCTGGTCCCAGAAATATAATTTTTTCTGAGAGAAATTTTTGCTATAGGGCACGTGCATTTGCTGGAGAGACAGAGAGATAGAAAATGAGAAATTATCCCCCAGGGGGAATGGCCACACCACAGTCCCTTCATTTTCCTCTTGGGATTTTGGCTATGCACCTGTACATGCCTGGTGTGAATTTTAAGCCTCTTGATCTGGGACTCAAACTCTGGTCCACTACTTGGGAGTCCAATAATGTAACCATTACACCATCTGCTGGTCTTGAGAAATAGAATTTTAACATTCCTCTTTTAATTTTTTAAAGAGATTTTTACTATAGGGAATATGCATTTGCTGGAGATACAGAAAGCCACGAGGTGGGGGGGGGATGAGGGGGGATGGCCACACCACAATCCCTTCTCCATTCTCCTCTCGGGATTTTTGGCATGCATGCACACACACCGGGCATGAGTCTTTTAGGCTGCCAGGTCTGGACCTCAAACTCCAATCAACTACATGGGAGTCCAGCAACATAACCATAATGCCATCCACTGATCCCAATATTCCTTTTTTACTAAAGTGACTTACATGAGAAAGCTTGTTTTGTAGTATGTAATAAGTAGAAATATTAGGTTAAAAAATTATGTAAAACTAAATTATTTCAGCTAGATGGTGGAACAGTCACTTGGTTAACTTAAACAAACTTTAGTTTTTAGAGCAGAGAGCTCCAGCGTTAGGCAACTTGGGTTCACATCCTTGCTTTGCCACTTATTCAGTACATGATTTGAGATAATTCACTAAATAGATGATTTGATATTTGTAAACCTTGGTATTCTCAGCTTTAAAAGGAAAATACATACTTATTGAGATGATTGGAAACAATGTATAAGACTGCTCGACACATTGTAGGTATTTAATAAAAGCTGGATTTTTTCCCCCTGCCAGTCTCTTAGAGGGCAGAAGAGCTCTCATTTTTTGTGTCCATAGTTTACTTGAATAAATACAGAGATGCAAATAGCCTTTGGTGAGAGAAATGGCTGCTAGAAGGGAGTGGTAGACATTCTTGTGGTAGAAATGGGGTGTTCCAAGATAGAAAGTTCAGGCAAAGTTGAAGGACAAGATTTTGATTTGACAGAAGCCTAAACTGTTATATAGTTAGAAAATGTGGAAATATAGATAGATGGGGACTAGATTTTGTAATAAGTAATTCAATGGTATTTTGAGAAATACTGACTTTATTCAGGAGCACAGCAGGTTTTCATATGAGGAAAATGACTTGATAGAAGCATCGGTCTAAAGGAAGATGAATCTGGTCATAGGGTATAGAATGAATCAAGAAAGGAAAAGGCAGAAGACAGTGAGGGATGGTTTAGTAGAACAGGTAAGGCAAAATCTAAGAATTTAATGGGACCAGCAGTTGGTGTAATGGCTATGTTGCTGGGCTCCCATGTGGTTGACCACAGTTTAAGTCCTAGACCCGGCAGCTTAAACTCATGCTGGGCACAAGTGCGTGTGTGCCCAAGATCCTGAGAGGAGAATGGAGAAGGGAATGCGGCATGGTCATCCTCGGGGGTGATTTCTTTATCGCTCTCTGTCTCTGTCTTCCTGGTGCACACACACACCCTATGGCAAAAGCCTCTCAAAAAAAAAAAAAAAAAAAAAAAAAGGTTTAATAGGGAAAAAAGAGGGAATGTTGTGGGAGAGTTTGTGTCCAGTTTGGAGATGGAATTCAAAAGGAACATTCCATCTAAGGTCTAAACTACATGGAGTTAGGCAACCTCTGAGAGAAGATAGGACTTAGTATTCTTTGGTTATCACACTTTTTTAAAAAAAATGGAAGAGTAAAAAGATTCCTATCATTTCATCAGTGAAAAGCATATGTTTATAGTTTTTAAAAATATATGCACAATCTCCTGCAGAAATTTTACTTATTTGGTATTTTGTGTTCTTAGTTAATAGGAACTTTTACTTTGTATTTCAGGAGGTATTCTCTTACAATGTTTTACTATAAGGTGAAGTCCTTCTGCATGTGGTTTTTGCAACACTCGTGCTGCTGGATTTCTAAAATATCAGTTATGTGGGGACCAATAAGTGGTTAAGGTGCTGGACTCCCACATGGTCAGCCATTGTTTGAGTCCAGGACCCAGCAGCTTGAAACTCACACCAGACACATATGCACGCTTGCCCAAAATCCCAAGAGGAGAATGGAGAAGGGATTGCAGTGTGGCCATCACCCCGGGGAGGTGATTTCTCACTTCTTATCTGTCTCTCTGTCTATCCAGGGAGCATACATGCCCTATACCAAAAATTACTCTTAAAAAAAAACACAAAAAACAATTAGGGGGCCAGCAGATGGCATGGTGGTTAAGGCGCTGGACATTCCCACATGACCCACAGTAGTTCGAGTTCTGGACCTGGGAGATTGCTTTCTTTCTCTCTTTACCCCTCTCTCTCTCTGTCTCTCTCTGGTCACATTTTAAAACAATAATAAATGAATGAATAATAAAATTAAATAAATAATTTTAAAAACCAATAAGTTACGTGAGAAGTAATAAATGAAGTATGACTTCTTGTTTATTAAAAACAGCTTCAAATGTTGAAGGCAGTGAAATATGGGGTGACAAAAATTAGGAAAGTTGAACCTATGATCTTTAGGAAAAAAATATATTACTTTCAGGTCCAGCTAGGTGTTGTGGTGGTTGAGGCTGCTGGATCCCACGTAATTGATTTCGAGGTTCAAGTCCTGCACTTAGCATTTGAAAACATGCCAGGTGGGGGCCAACAGGTGGTATGGTGGTTGAGGTGCTGAACTCCCACGTGACTGATTGCAGTTCAAGTCCTGGACCTGGTGCCTTGAAAATCACATCAGGTATGTGTGCATGCATGCCCAAAATTCCAAGAGGAGAATGGATGAGAAGGGATTGTGGCATAGCCATCCTCCAGGGGATGATTTCTCACTTTCCCTCTTACTGTTTCTGTGGTAAGTGCATGTAAAAAAAGAAAAGGAGAGACATGCTAGGTGTGTGTGTGTGTGTGTGTGTGTGTGTGTGTGTGTGTGCAGACCCAGAATCCCAAGAGGAAAATAAAGGAGAAGGGATTATGGCCTCTCCATTCCCCCAGTGGGTACTTTCTCACTTTCTCTCTCTGGCAAGCGCATACACACTATAGAAAAAAAATTGGGTGGGGGAGTGGGGCCAGCAGTTGGCTTAATTGCTATGTCGCTGGACTTCATGTAGTTGACCACGGTTTGAGTCCCAGACCCAGTGACTTGAACTCACGCTGGGTGCATGTCCATGTGTGCCCAAGATCCGGAGAGGAGAATGGAGGAAAAGAGATTATGATGTGGCCATCCCCCCTGGGGGGTGATTTCTCACTTTCTGTCTCTGTCTCTTTCTGGTGAGCACACACGCCCTATAGCAAAACAAAACAAAACAAAACAAAAAAACTCTCCAAAAAAAAATTTTTTTTCCAAATTGCTTTTAAGGGATCAGCTGATGACATAATGGTTACATTGTTGGACTCCCATGTAGTCGACCACAGTTCAAGTCTCAGAGCCCATGGCTTAAAACACGCTGAGTGTGTGTGTGTGTATGCCCAAGATCCTGAGAGGAGAATGGAAGAGAAGGGATTGCAGCATGGCTATCCCCCCAGGGGTAATTTCTCACTTTATGTCTGTTTCTCTCTAGCAAGCACATGTGCCCTATAGTAAAAATCTCTCTTAAAACATTATTTTTAGTATTCCCATTCTCTTTTCCCTTAATTTTCCTAAATAAAAAAAAAGGATCCACAGGTACCATTTTTAGTCATTCTAGTATTTGATTCTAGCTCTGCTTGTACTTTCCACTTGACTGAATAATATGTAAGCAAGTTAGCCTGAAGATTGATATATTAATATCTTTTTAACTGGTAAGTAAATTCATGAGCTGTGAATTGTCTGCTCTCTGTCTTCCAATTGAGAAAAAAGCAACCTTCAATTAAAAATATATATATACAGGCTTGTGGTACTTCTAAGATGTTGCATTTTTTTAATCAGTGAATTGACATACTTTTCTTATGTTCCTTTTAGTTTTCAAATAGTGTCTGAATTCAGAAATAAGTATTATTAGTTTTATTTAAATATCTTCTTTTAAAAGTATTCTTGAAAATATTTTTACATTGGGAACCAGCAGTTAGCGTAATGGCTATGTCGCTGGACTCCCACATAGTCGACCGCAGTTCGCGTCCCGGACCCGGTGGCTTAAAACTCACGCCAGGCACATGTGCATGTGTGCCCAAGATCCCGAGAGGAGAATGGAGGAGAAGGGATTGGGGGGTGATTTCTCGCTTTCTGTCTCTATGTCTCTCTCTTGTCTGTCTGGCGAGCGCACATGCCCTATAGCAAAAAAACCTCTCAAAAAAAATTTTTTTTACATTAATAAACAAATGTAGAACATAGTATTGGGGATTATGTGTGTGTGTGTGTGTTACTTTTTACAAATACTGTCTTTTTCCTATGTGAAACTGCAGAAGGCCAGATGTGGTCACCTGAATGTCAATTCCATTTATTAAAGGAACCT